CCTCAAGGGACTTTGAAGAACAAGATTCATCGGTATATTTAAATTCCCGAGAATTTTTAGTCTCCTTTGCTTGAGATTGACTGTGTCTGTGAACGGATGGTGATACTGAAATTTAGATTCGTGTATGTTGGAATTCCAATCCTTTGAAGCCGCCCAATTTCCTTTTTTCTGCCCTTTCAGTGCGTGTATATTTATACATAATACAATTCAACCTTTCAGCCACCAAACCTTCCAATGATTCCCAGCATCCCCTCTTTTTTCCTCATTCAAGCCATCTTACCAGGAAAGGAAAAAAAAAACATTCCCGAATCCGCGTCCTCAAATTTGCAGATTTTCTGCCTTCTCTTGTGGGCCCTTTTTTGCAAGGAAAACGTGGAAATTTCAAAATCTCTATTTCAGGAGAAATTGTAGCACGTTAAATTATCATTCCAAAGCCTCTTGAATCAGCTCAATACGATGTTGTATGAGGGAGATATGGTAAGAATACTAAAGACAGTGCAGCAATGCTTCCAATTCGGGATTACACAGTCTTCCACTGATTTCCTCCCTTCATCACGTGTTCTGTATTCTTCTGATTGCCTATGAAACGGAATTTTTTGTTTTAACGGAATTTTTTTTTCAGTGTTAGTTTTAATGTTTCCGTTAAATAGCAATTAAGTCACTGTTGTCTCTCTCAAATTAGGTGTCGATCGAACGAGAAATCTTCTATAAAAAAAAAACCCAAAGACAAAACTCAAAACATGCAAACCGATGTTTAAATGATACTAATTAAAAATTAAAAATTTTTTTAAATTTAAATGATCTAGGAATCATAAAAAACCGATTGATACAAATCATATGCCACATTAATTGATTTATTTTCTGAAGACTTAAATCATCCATTTTTTTCTAAAACTTAACAATAAAAAACTAACAAAATCATCATAACATCCAAATAAAAAATTAGTAGATAAATATTTTAAAATAATTAGTAGATAAATAGTTGATAGTTGCTTGGAATAGTGATTTAAGTTTGACAAATAGTTTCTAAAACATTTTTTTTTTATGTGATATTGAAATATGCTTTTGTTATTTCGTAGGAAATAATTGTTATTTATTTTTCTCATCGCGTCCGTCAAATACCTTTATAACCAATCTCAATCCTCTTCTTCCTGAGGCAGCTGCAATGAAGCAATGGTAATTCTCGCCAATTAACATTTACATATTAATGCATTTATATTAGACTTCATTATGTGATTTATGTAATTTACCTGTATATTTCATTTCCTTACATTTTTCTTCTTTTCTGAATTTTAAAGGCGGAGAATAATGATTTGATAATTAAAATTATCAATGCAAGATCCTTGACATACCCATCTACACTGCTGTAATCTGTTGGTATTCGGAAAATTGTGAAGAATTGCGATATTGCAGAGTTGATTAAGGGTTTACAACTCATGGCGGTAAATATTGTTTTATCAGTAAAGATTATTTTATTTGTAATAAATTAAAATATTTACACAAACATTCATTCTACAAATTGATTATGATTTAATGTAGAAAGCAAAATTTTGGATAAAGGCGAACATAAATGTGATTGAGTTTGCCCAAATATTTTATTACATGTCATGCGTTGGTTGTAATAAATGAACTGGATATAAATACAATGAAAGTTTATTATGTATATATTGCAAAAGTCAAAGTGTTTGCTAACCACGGTATATATCTTACTATTATAATTTAAAATTGAAGTTTGATTTAATTTAGAATTTAACACTATT